TTAAGTTTCTAATTGGAGGGTGTTTGGTCATGGCATAAGAATTGGACTCTGGGTCAACTGCCTGGGTTCTAATCTTATTTTTACCCCTTTACCAGCTGCATGACCTTCAGCAAGCTACCTAACGTCTCTGAACCTCAGTTTCTTTATGTTTTAAAATGGGAGTAATAGTAGGACCTACTTATCTGTCAATATTTCTTTCTTTCTTTTTTTATTTAATTGTGATTTGGGTGAAGATTTACAGGGCAAATTCTCTTTCCATAGAGTAGTTCATATATACTTTGTCTCATGACATTGACCACAGTTTACCACAATGCAACAGCTCCCCTACCCCTTCCTCCCCATAGTTACCTCTTCCCAGTGTATGTCAATATTTCGAGGAGTAAATGGACTGATATGCATACACTGCTATCATCACTGCTGTTACCTTGTCTTGATGTCTTCATACAATATTGTAAGAACTTTGAAGGCCGGAACCTGCTTGGGGAGCTCGGCTATGGTTTTCTTGATGGGGCACTTGTGGCATTTTGGGTAGCCTGGTTGAGCTGGACTGTCCTATGCATTTCTGAGCTTAGCATCCCTGGCCAGAGCTGTCTCCTCACACTCTTGTTGAGAACAAAGCAGTCCAACTTCTGTCAGTGAAGGCAAGGATGTCTTCCTCCCAGCAGGCCCCTTGCTTCCATTCTCACCACCAACACTGGTGCTATTGTTGGGGATGGCATAGTGGGCTGAATACAGGGCAGCCTGTCCTTCTGTCAAGGCTAGTCCTGCTTGCTTCCAGTGGCCTGGGGGAGCTCTGTAGCCCCAGTGGGAGCAGGTGGCTCAGGACTGATGCTGTGGATCAGGGGCCCCTTGAAAGGAGCTATGCTGAGTTGAGCAGGTCTGACCTAGGACCCAAGCTGGTTTGTTTGAAGCTCTGGTGTAGTAAGGAGCTCTGGTGGTGTAGTGGGTAAGGCATTTGGCTGCTAACCAGAAGGTCAGTGGTTCAAACCTACCAGCTGCTTCACAGGAAGGTGAGGCCATATACTTCTGTTAAGATTTATAGCCTTGGCCTTGGAAACCCAGTGGGGATCACTATGAGTCAGAATCGACTCGATGGCAGTGAATTTCTTTCTTTCTTTCTGTTTTTAATTTTTATTATGATTTGGATGGAAGTTTACAGAGCAAATTCATTTTCCATACAGCAGTTCATATGTACTTTGTCTCATGACATTGACTGCAATTTCCCCCAAAGCAAATCACCCCTCCCAATTCCTCCCCATAGTTACCTCTTCCCTGTGTCCTTCCCTCCATGCATTCCTGCCCCGTGAGCTGTCTGTCTATACATACACAGCCCTTGTATTCTCCCATGATTGTTCTCTCCAAGGAGTGTATCTACCTAGTGTAAATGTTCACCTCATATGCCTGTCTTTTGTTTGGCTGGTAGCCACAGGAGTGGATTCATTTCCAGACCTGAAGGGCAGCTAGGGGCCATAGTCTCAGTGGTTCCATCAGGCTCTATCAGACCAGCAGACCTTGTCCCTTTTTTTTTTTTTTAATGATTTTGGGTTTTGTTCCACATTGTTCTCCCACTCTTCCCAGGATCCCCCTTTGAGTGGTTGACAGTGGTAGCTGGGCACCATCTAGTTCTTCTGGTCTCATCATATAGGCTGGGGATGACATGGTACCAGTTACTTGGACTAATTGTTTCCATGAATCTTTGGTTTTCTTCATTCTTCTTTGCTCTGGATGAGGAGACACTCATCGTTGCACCTAGATGGGTGCTTGCAAGCTTTTAAGATCCCAGTCACTACTTGCCAAAGTAGGAGATGGAATAATGTTTTTGTGTAGTATGTTATGTCAGTTGAGCATGATGTCCCCTGAGTCCATGGTCTCGAGCCCACAGGTCCAACTACTCCCTCCCTCTGGGTAGCTGGCTGTGGCCAAGAAGTGACCACAACCTTGTCCCTTTACGAATACACTTGTAGAAATATTGTCTGCCAACCCTATACATGATCATGGGCACGCTCCCCCCTGCATAGACATACCTAATTGTTCAGCCTGTCCACCCATCCATCCACCCATAGATCAGTGTTTGCCTTTATTGACATCTCAGTACTGTATGTGCAAAAGCATTCATCTTTGTTATCTGTACCTACCATGCACCTCTCTTATGACTTCCTCTTCCTCAGTGCCACCATGTTGATCACTCACATTTGGTACATTGCCCTTCTCTTCACCCAAATCAATACTTGTCTCTACCTATCTAACAGTGTTCCCTCCCCTCCCATTTTTCTTTCTTCCTTCCTTTCTTTTGAGAGACTAAATGGAAAAGAATGCTTGTAAAATATATGTAGGATTTGTAGAACTATGATATAATGAACACCAAGGCACCCACCAACCAGTTTTTTAAAAATGCTATTTATTTTGTTGAGAGCATACACAGCAGCACATATACCGATTCAGCAGCCTCTCGATGTACAGCTCAGTGACACTGACTACCTTCTTCAAGTTGTGTAGCCACCCTCACCCTGCTTTTTGGAGTTGTTCTTCCCACATCAACATAAGCTCATTGCCCCCTAAGGTTTCTGTCTAATCTTTCAGGTTGCTGTTGTCACTTTGATCCCATATAGATAGTGCTTGAAAGAGTATAGTCTTCAAGGCAGACATTTTTTTACCAGTTAAACTAAACTGCTTTTTGGTTTTGAGAAGACTTCAGGGCATATATATATACATATTTTAAAGAACTTTGTCAGCTCCTGTGCCCCTCCTCCCTTCTATCCCATTTCCTTTCTTTTACTATCCAAATTTTGGGAGGATTGTTCTCTTCCATCTCTTTTATTTCCATATCTTTGATTCCCTAAACAATGTGTTTTCTTTGAAATAGGAGTCCTACATCTAAGTAACAGGGCTCTTTTTGTCTCTTTATCTTGCATTCCGAACGATTTCTTCCTATCTGTCTTCCAACCGCCCTGGTGGTGCACAGTTAACTATTGGACTGCTAACTGAAAGTTTGGCAGTTTGAACCCACCCAGCGGCTTCTCGGGAGAAAGACCTGGTGATCTGCCTAGAAAACACTGTGGGTCAGTTCTGCTCTGTCCCACTGGGTCACTGTAAGTCAGCATCGACTCAGTGGCACCTAAAAGCCTTACATGTCTAATTTCCAACTCTGTCTTTCATTTCTTGAAGTCTGTTCACTTTGGTAATAGCACCCTTTTCTCACAACATAATGTTTTTGAGATCACCCACTAAGACTGCATGTGTTCCTTTCATTGCTGCGAATGAGTACAGCTCTGTGTTGGGTGGCTAGGCATGCAGCAAGGAGCAGTAGGGGCCATGCCTACACGGTGGAGCTTAAAGCGCAGCAGGGGAGAGTGACAAAAGTTACAGCCAGCTGGGCTGGAAAAAGACAAGGCACCCCAGAGCACTGGGCCAAGAGTCAGTACCATGTCCTAGATGCTGACCCCTAAAGAGTGAGTAGGAGCAAGTCAGTGGAGTGGAAGCTTTGCCGGATGAGGTGCTGTGCACTGGAATCCTGAGCTTGAAGACTCTGGGGTTCATGGATTCAGGTCACTGGTCATTTACACCTGCATTCCTGAGAGAAGGAGTCTGGTGCGGCTGGTGGTGATGGGCATGGCTCTAGAGTCCACTGTAGGCTCCACCCTGGCTGGCCTCAACCTCTTCCGTCACATCCAGAGCAGAAGCAGCCAGAGTCGCTGCCGGCTAGGATTGCGTGTGAACAGGAGCAGCAGGTAAGGGGCCTTGCATTGGTGTAGCCATGGTGGTTATTCCGTGTGCCGGTCTTTGGCTCCGTTTCTTTCACCGTCTTGGTAACCCTGTCCACCTGCCAAGGTGACATCTCTACCTGGATGTCTGAAAGGTAAACATACCTGAAACGGAGCTCACAGCTTCCCTCTACCAGTGGCTTCTCCCCCAGCCTCCCCTTCTTTGTAAGCGGGCTCTGCCCAGCCTCTTGCTGAGGCCAGAGTTCTAGGTATTATCTTTGGTTCCTCTGCTTAGCTCGTGCTTATCCCACTTGATCAGAAGTCCAGTCAATTCCATCTCCAGAATCCACCTTACATCTTCTGCTCCATCACCTTTTCCTTCATCACACCTCCCCCCAAGTCTATCTGCCTCCCACTGCAGGCACCTTGGTTTAGTCCTTGGTTTTCTTGCTTCTACAGTCTTCTCCCCAAGCAGGCCAGAATCTCTTCTGAGTGCGGATCGGATCTTGTTATCTACATGCTACAGACCCCCAGTGGCTTCCCTGCAACTTGGGATAAAGTCCCGCCTCCTGACTTTGTCTTCCTGCACCTCTCTCTAGCCTCACCCCATCTTCTCCCTCCTGCTCACCTTAGCCTCTGCATGCCGAGCCCTTCCTGCCTCGGGCTTTTGCACAGGGCGTCCCTGCATCCAAAAGGCACTTCTAGCATTGTGTGTAGCTGGCTTTTCTCCCTCTCAGGTCTCAGAGGGGCCATCTTACTTACCCTCAATAAGTAGTCCTCCATTTTCTCCTGTCACAAACTCTTAATTATCAGTTATTTGCTTACTTTTTCCCTCCCTCACTTTAATGGCTGAGACGGGGACGTTGCCTGTCCCCTCAGTGCCTGCACATTGCCTGGCACACGTGGGTGCCTGGTAATAGAGTAGCATTTTTTGGCCCTATTGAGTGGCAGGATATGGAAATGGGCTCAGAAGCCAGGTAATTCACCCAAGATCACAGAGCAGGAAGCAGCAGGCAGACTCCAGAGCACAAGCCCTAGCCATCATGCTGTGGCCCCTGACAGTGGCTGGTGGCAGGCTGTTTGGACTGATCCCACGTAGGTCCCTGGAGGCCAAGGAGTGTCACTCCCCTCACAGAGGCTTTCAGGGAAGGGTTGTGGCTCAGAGACCTCCTTCCTGCTTTAGCATCAGCTGTTTTTATAGGGTCTCTGGACTAGGGGTGAAGAGGCCAGAACAGGACTGTGTGTCTCAACGCATGGAGGAAGCCTGATGATCTCTCCCACACTTTCCCTCCTGCTCAGGCCGCATCAGCTTCTATGAGGAGTATGGCGTCATCCGTGACATCCTCCAGAACCACCTGACGGAGGTCCTCACCCTGGTGGCCATGGAGCTGCCCCACAACATCAGTGACCCAGGGGCTGTATTACAGCACAAGCTGCAGACCTTCCAGGCACTGCGGGGCCTGCGGAAGGGCAGTGCCGTGGTGGGCCAGTACCAGGCCTACAGCGAGCAGGTGCGCAGGGAGCTACAGAAGCCAGACAGCTTCCAGAGCCTGACGCCAACCTTCGCAGGTGGGCTCCAGGGCCGCCTACCCACCGGAGCAGCTCCCAAACCCAGGAGCCCTTGGTTTGGGTTGGAAGGGACCTAAGGTGGGGATTTCCATAAGGGGCTTGCTGGGAAGTGTGAACTACCCCACCAGTGTCTCTAGTCATTAACAGCTTAAAGCTCTAGGTCCCCTGCTGGCCTCTCAGAGTGAGGGATCCCAGTGGCATTGCCACATCAGCCTCAGTCGGGGTTCACAGGTCCTCACTGGGGCAGGCTATGTTGGACCCACATGTGAGCTTACGCCAAGCCCCTAAATGGGCAGCCAACCTGCCCAGCCATGGCAGGGACTGTCCAGTGGGCGGACCTCAGGCCAGCCAGGCAGATGCCACCAGAGCCATGTGGGAGAGGGTCATGGAGGCTGTCCCCCGGGAGGACAGAAGGGAGTCACCACCACAGCAGGCGTAGCAGCGGTTTGTTGAGCACTCTCTCTGTGCCAGGCATGTTCACACTTTCTCTCACTTAATCCTTACATGTGCACACACATACCTGGATGGCAGCTAGGACTGTTGTCCCATTTTATAGGTGAGGAAAAGTGAGGTTCTGTGAAGTTATGGTAATGCAGAGAAAATGTGAGAAGCCAGGTTTGGAAGGTGGGTCTGGAGTCCATTCAGAGTCTGGCTGTCACTACTGTCACTTTACCCTGTAGACCATGGTCACTCGTCAGTGTCCCCGGCCCCTCCATCGGACTACTTTGGGCCCACGCATATCCTCAGTGCTCCCCAAACAGGAGGGAAACACCTTTCTCTATAGGACCTTCCGAGGGTCAGGTCCTCCCATCCTGCCTCCACAACGAGACATCTCCTTTTAGAGTCTCCAGGCTGGTGACACTCAGCCCAGCTCTCTGTGCTCTGTGGATGGTGACTTTATGAGGCACCTTGAGGGAGGCAAGGCGTCATGGCAACCTGAGGGCCCAGCGTTCTGGCACTGGAGGGAAAGATACTAGAATGGAGGGTGAAGGTTAAGAATGAATGGAGGACGTACCGTAGATATCAGTTGCCATCGAGTAGGTTCTGACTCACGGTGGCCCCTTGGGTGTCAGATAGCACTGTGTACCACAGGGTTTCTAATGGCTGATTTTCCAGCAGGAGATTGGCTAGGCCTTTCTTTTGAGGTTCCCCGGGTGGACATGAACCTCCAACTTTGGGTTAGCAGCCAAGCGCACTAACCATTCGCATCCAAGGGTTTTTAGTATAGGGCAAGGGGGTCTCAGAGGCAATGGGGTGCCCCAGGAATGGGGTCAAAGAGAAGGGTGGCATCCTTGTTCTCTGTGCTGGAATGTCACTCCTTGTCCCTTCAGGTGTCCTTGTTCATATTGACAACCTTCGCTGGGAGGGTGTCCCTTTCATCCTGATGTCCGGCAAAGCCTTGGATGAGAGAGTGGGCTACGTGCGGGTCCTGTTCAGGAACCAGGCATACTGTGCCCAGAGTGAGAGGCACTGGGTCGCGGACCAGAGCCAGTGTTTGCCTCGGCAGGTTGTCTTCTATATCGGGCATGGTGACCTGGGCAGCCCTGCTGTGCTGGTTAGCCGGAACCTGCCCAGGACTGTGCTGCCCTCTGAGAGCTGGAAGGAGGTAGAGGCTCAGCCTGGACGCCACCTCTTCGGCCGCCCTCTGTCTGATTTCTACATCTACAGCCCCATGAGGGAGAGGGACGCCTACTCCATCCTCATCTCACACATCTTCCATGGCCGCAAGGACTCTTTCATCACCACAGAGAACCTGCTGGCCTCCTGGCATTTCTGGACACCCCTGTTGGACAGCCTGAGCCGTGAGACCCCGCGTCACTACCCAGGAGGAGCCGAGAGTGGGCACCTGTTGGACTTTGAGTTCAGTGGCAGCCAGCTATCTTTTTCCCAGCAGCAGCTGGAGCAGCTGGTGCCCAAACCCAGCAGTGCCCCAATGCCCAGTGACTTCCGGGTCCTCAAGGCCACATACCGGGAGAGCCCGCTGATCTTGTCCTGGCCCGAGGAGCTGATTGCTAAGCTGGCCAGTGACATTGAGGCCACAGCCATGCGAGTAGTACGGCACTTTGGCGAGTTCCACCTGGCCCTCTCGGGTGGCTCGAGCCCCGTGGCCCTGTTCCAGCAGCTGGCCCTGCGGCACTTTGGCTTCCCCTGGGCCCACACACATCTGTGGCTGGTGGATGAACGCTGTGTCCTGCCCACAGACCCAGAGTCCAACTTCCAGAGCCTGCAGGCCCACCTGCTGCAGTACATCCGTGTCCCCTACTTCAATATCCACCCCATGCCCGTGCACCTGCACCGACGGCTGTGTGCCGAAGAAGACCAGGGCGCCCAGCTCTACGCACAGGAGATTGCTGCCCAGGTTGCCAACAGCAGCTTCGACCTGCTGCTGCTGGGTATGGGCACTGACGGGCACACAGCCTCGCTCTTCCCCCAGTCGCCCGCTGGCCTGGACGGCGAGCAGCTGGTTGTGCTGACCACAAGCCCCTCCTGGCCACACCAACGCATGAGCCTCAGCTTGCCCCTCATCAACCGGGCCAAGAAGGTGGCCGTCCTGGTGATTGGCAGGATGAAGCATGAGATCACCATGCTGGTGAGCCGAGTGGGCCATGAGCCCAAGAAGTGGCCCATCTCAGGTGTCCTTCCAACTTCCAGCCAACTGGTGTGGTACATAGACTATGAGGCATTTCTGGGGTGAAGGTGCCTGTGCCTTCCACTGACACCTGGCCCTGCCCTTTCCCATCCTCCTCTTTCCCCTCTCAGCCACCGGCCCCACATGCCCTGGCTATCTGGAATCTAGTAGCCCAGGGCCAGGTCCCTGAAAAAGGAAGGATGAGGCCCTGTCCCTATCCCTTTGGCCATCAGTATCTGTCTAATTGTGGCAGGTAGATACAGAAACAGGCAGAATGGAATCCCTACTCATGGGAAACTTCAAATCCAGGCTGGGAGAGCAAACAGACAGTAAGAAAAGACCCACAACTGCCAGTTAACACATTTTATTTACACGTACCAGCACAAAACAAGATGGTGCAAAAGTTCTAGGTTCAAAGAGGGTGTGCAGCAGCTAGGGTATTAGGGAAGACATCCTGAAGGAGGTGGCCCTAGGACTGTGGAACAGAAGAGCATCGAATGGAAGAGAGGGGACGCAGCACCATGCAGGGCAGATGTTTTGGAGGCCTCCGGCTGGCCTGGCACTGCTCCCCCTTTGTCCTTTCCCACTCGACCCTCCACTGTCCTTTCCTCTTGGCTGCCTCCTCCTGCTCCATCTCTCTGGACTCCTCACCTCCACCCTGACTGTGGAGGAAGCCTGCCCAGCTCCCTCCCTGTATCTTGCTGTCCATCAGAAACTGCACACAGAAACTCCAGTGGTGATGTGGCTGTTAATCACTTCGGGAGGACAAATGAAGGGTGAAAACAGTTACACAGCTGCAGATACTAGGATGTTACCAAGGTTTCAGAAAACTCAAGGCTGTTGGGAGCACCCTTTCCCGGTCTGTGAACTCTGTGTGGGAGGGGCCAAGCTCCCCCAGCTCCCTCAGGAAACGCCTGTGCCCTCTGCCCTCATGCCTCCCACTGGCTATACTGTGAGACACACTGGGTGCAGGTGGTCAGGCCATTCCAGACAGCCCCCCTTAAGAGGGCCGTTTACATCTCAGGGGCCTGCCACGTGGGTGTGTCTGTGCTCCGCCTCCTTTACCAGGGGAAGTCCTATGAAACCAGCCATCCCCCAGTACTGGTGTCAGATGATCTGATCCATGCTGGCAGCACTGACTCCCTGTAGGGCAGCTGCAGGTCACAGGCAGCCACGGTGGCCTCGTCCTCCGGCAGGTTCTCCGTGCCAAGGAGGGGCAGTGCAGCCAGCCCTTCTCACGCTACCTCTTGGCAGTGGCGCTGGAGCCTGCCCACCTCCTGCCTGCTGGCCCCTTCAGCCACCACTCACATCACCACTAACGTACTGTTGAGTTTGGGGAATCAGTAAGTGCCTTCCTGTTAGCCTAGGTTGGGTATTGGCTCTTGAGAAGCCATGAGCCAGCAATGCCTGCTTTTCTGAAACCCTCAAGAGGGTCTCTGAAATCTTAACAAAAAACAAAAACTCTTGGGACACATTACATTTCAACTTCCTATACAGTTGTACCCTCAAAGTATGACTGTATAGGATTATGGTAGAATTTCTGTGGCGCTTTCCCCTGCCTCATGGTCACGGTCTGTATTGGTAAATATACTCTGCGCATCACAATTTGGGAGGCGAGGGCTTTTGTTTGGGGAGCAGGAGCATCCCAAAATCTCTTTCTCTATTTTTGATTGTTTACACTTTCTACAAGACTTCAGACTGAGAAGAAATCTTGCTTTCATTTGAGATGTTTGTATGTGAAAGGTTTGAGCCAGGGTCTCTTATGTGAAAGGTACTCTTGTTAAAATTAGGCTCACTCCAGTCTCCAGTGACCCAGTCCAAACAGAACGTCTCTCTTTATACCAGGACAGCTGAACTTGGCAGGAAGAACCAGAGCACCCAAGGTCAAGAATCCTCCTTGTTAGTGGTCAGCATTTGAACTTTCTTGAATCTGGTGGGAGGGATTTGGGAGTAGACACAGGTGATTGTGGGCCAGATTCCACCTCTGGCCACATGGTGGCGCTCTCACACCATCCTTGACCAGTTGGCTGGTTCCTGTGTGGTATTTGTTTGCATTTCTGTGTTTTCCTCCCCGGGCCCTTGGCCCCAGCACGCCCCCATCTGTTCTTTAGGAACTTCCTCTGCTGCTTGAAACACCCAAGAGGAAGGAGGCTTCATGTGCCCAAGCCTCACTGCATGGCAAGGGTGAGCAGGCTCTTGATGTCACCATTTCCGAGTAAGTGTTGAGTCACGCTGGACCTGGCTAGGATGTCCTGTTCTTACTCAGGAGAGTGACTGCCTCAAAATGTGCCCTTTATTTGTGGCGCATGTGAGGATAGAGGTGGGGGAAGCAAGAGATGCCAAAGGCTTCCTTTCCAGAATCAAGTGTTTTCTTAAAATTACGTGGGAAAAATCTGAACTGGGAGAGATTGTCATTACCTCTCTGCTCCCTGTTAGGATGAGGGGTCTCACAACCAGGCCAGCTCACAGCTGGTCTCAAACTTTGGATCATGAGCCACAGCGGAAACACGTCACACCATGAGTTGGCCACTTAGTGTATAAATATGTGTCTCAGAGAAGTTTCTTAAAGGGATTCTTACCCTCCAACCTTAGGCTACCCTCTATTTTCCATTAAAAATAAATCGCCATCCACTAAATTGAGTTGACATGTAGTTTGAAAAACACTGCTCTGAACTCTTCAGTGCTCTGTTGCTAACTGAGAAGGGTTGGTGGTTTGAACCCACCTGGTGACTCTGCAGGATAAAGACCTGGCTGTTTGCTTGTAGAGATTACTAAAACCCAAAACCACTGCTTTAGAGTCAAATCCACCTCATTAGGACACTATAAGACAGAGTAGAACTGCCCCATAGGGTTTCCAAGGCTGTAATCTTCACGGAAGCAGAGTGCCACATCTTTCTCCCATGGAGAGGCTGGTGGTTGGAATTACTGACCTTTTAGGTTGCCACTATCCTTGTGTGTATTCGTATCCTCTTTAACCACTGTGGGGTCCCTCTAGCAGGAAGGAGCACCTTCTGGGAAGATTATACAGCCTAGAAAACCCTATTGGGCAGCTCTGCTGTGTTACACATGGGGTCGCTATGAGTCGAAAATTGCCTTAATGGCACCCACCAACACTTGGCTTCCTTCCTTGACGCCTAGCGCTGCCTTGGGGCTGGGCCAGAGCCTTTTGTTCCCAGCAGTGATTCTCTCCCTAGGCTCCTCCCGGCATCTTAGATCACCCTCAGGAGGCTGCCCTCAGGGCTGGTCAGTGCAGAGGGGTCGGGGTGTTCTTCCCTCTGAGCTGGAGGCGGGCTCCCAGCATTGCCTCCCTGGAGCATCACCACACCAGTCCCCTCATGGGAGCAGGAGGACAGGTGATGAAGAAACTGTCGTCAGGGGCCTGGAGCTTGCCCAAGTGGTAGTTATGTGTCCTTTGCAGAGGGACCGATAGGTGCCAGGCTCAACACCAAATCCTTTACACGATACCATCTTCATTACTCTTTGTAATATAACTGTGAGGTGAGTGGTGTGAACCTCAAGGCCGATTTTGAAACTGAAGCTTTGGTTAAGGACCCAGTGTCTAATGGTGAACAGTGAGGAGATGATAGACAAGGCAAGTCCTGGAGACCAGGGAGCTCTGAGTCCTGGGTGCCAGGCAGTGTTAGTGTAAGTCCAGGTTCCCTGATAGGGACAGAGGCTTCCCATGAGAGACTGCAGAAGTGTGCATTTATGGCCCTGCGTGGTAGACCCTCTTTGAGGACCTCATCAGTTAATGAGCATCTTTTATGTCAGCAGCATAGCCATTCCTTGTGGGGAAAGAAGGGGCTTTCCAAGTGGTATGCTGGATTCTGGTTTGAACACGGGGATAAATGTTTCTGCTGACCAGGAATTAAAACAGCTTCATCTTGTCAGTTTTCCCACAGGCTCCTCGTTTCCCTTCAGTCTTAAAACACTTTATTCCTGTTCTTTGGTCTTCAAATTAACAGCATAGTCAAAGCTAACATAGACCCAGCATCTTTGGGAATACTTCCTCCAGTGTTTTCATTCCAGTCCTTTCAGGGCTGGGACTCTGATCCCTGTTCCAGGTGCTTCCCTTTGCGTCGCTGGGCTTTCCTCCCTTCCCTGTCCTTCCAGGCACAACCCCAGGAGCAAGGGGATCTGGGGTGCTAGTTAAGGAAATTAACGTTGCAAAGCAGAGCTTCTATAAAACCTGGAGAGTTATTCACTAGAATTTAGTTTAGTAGAAAAAAGAGTTTTGTTCCAGAAAATATCTGCCCCTTCGTGGAGCAGTCTCTGCACAGCTTCCCCCGGCTTTATTTTCGTCGTTCGCATATAGAGTCCCTGTAGACCTCAGTCCACTGGCAGGGAAGCTGCCTGGCAGGGTCTTGGTGTTGGGAACTAACAGTCACAGGGAAGGCCAGTGATGAGAAGAGGGCGAGGCAGTGTGGTGGCAACGTGATCACCAGCATCCACCCTGTGAAGGCCGATATTGGTGGGGGTGGCATTAAGAGGATGCTGCCTCCACGGTCCCTGGGAGTCTGGCCCCCTGGCCAGGCCCCTGTGGAGCTGAGGAACATGTCTGCTCTTTCACTCCCTTGAGTGCCTTGTGATGCTGCTCAAGTTGCATAGGCAGGGAGCCTGCAGCTGGTTGCCACTTGCAGAGGTGCCAATCACTTTGTTCAAATGTCATTTCCCTGAGGGAGAAGGTGGTCCCTTCAGCCTCGTTCACATCTGGTAGCTCATCAGAACCTGGGGGGGGGGGGTCATCTGAACGATAGTGTCATGTGCATAATGGTACCATCCTGTCACCTGCACACTTTAGCTGGTGCTCCTTGGCCCTACGGCTGCAGTCATTGGAGCTGCGTCATTGGAAGGCCAGACTTTCACAGTCCTGCCTGCTCTCATCTCCCACTCACTGGCCTCAGCCACAGCTCAGGCATCCGCCTGTGCAGTCCATTCCACTCATGGCTGGTGTGGAGGGTTGAGGGGACACGGGCATGTGCTCCGTGTTCCTTTTCCTGCAATATGTGTAACCGTCATAGGACACATAAGTCTCACTTCCTGCCTTTTGCACTCTGGAGGAGACT